GGCAGAAGTCTTGTATTATTCCCTATGGAGATAATGTGACATATTTTCTCCCTAGGGATTTTATACCGACTTCACAATTTCTGTATAGCTCTGCGCTTTCTTTTCGGAACACCCTTCTCTGAAGCGAGTATAAGCTGCATCATACAGATTCCTGGACCTCGTTGGTTATTTCGTTTGATGTAACACCTTCAGTACCAAACATAAAAAGGTATGTTTCAACACCACCGTTTTTCATATTTTTCCAAAAATAATTGAGAGTTGATAACCAACTACATTTTGACACTGCCGCCACGTCTGTCAATGGCTAAGTTAAATCCACATTTAAAACGTATGGTGGCGCTGTTGGCGTAGTTTCAAATGAAATGTCAATATGGGAGGTTTCATTCTCATTTTGTGTGAAGATTCCTTTGCTCCACTTCAATATTGCGCGTTAGGTTCAACATACTTTATTGGAAATTATTCCAAAAGGCCATCGATCTAAAATTTTACTTCAATGTCTTGGATCGAATTTGTGAATAAATTGATAATCGATGGTATAATCAATCTATAACGTATTGCTCATTTCAATGAGATGCAGATATTTGCTCTAACGCGAATGGAATTCACAGCGTCCAGAAAATGGGATTTGTCATGCTCAAGTCCTGAATTATTTATTTTCAACATATAGAGTTAAATAATGGCATGCTATTCAAGAATTTATCTCATAGTTCGCACGAGATCCTGTCTCTCAGTATAACTTCATAACTTTCGAGCCGTGAAGCCAAACCAACAAAACCAATAAAAATCAACCGCAATTACTCCCAGACACAATCCTCGCAATTCCAGACCGATAATTCATTTTTCCAGGTCTACTGGAGCGAGCAGTTCCTGTTCAGCGTCCACGCCTGCAGCATATTTCCCTGCGATGTCCACTGCGGTCTTATTTCAATAGATCCTGCGTTTTGGCCACGGGGGATATATTCTACCTCTTCGACAGGCCATCTGAAAACACTCACAGTATTCAAAATATTGAATTTGTTATTCTTGAATCCTGAATTATTCATTTTCTACTTCCGTATTTCAAACAATTCGCGAAATGAATATCTGCTAACAATTTCTTGAAACCGTTTTATTTTAACACGAATTTCTATTATGATACAGCTTTTGACCAATGAAAACACGTAATTTTCGTTAGGAAACGAATTTTTGGCTTATAGAAACACGTATTCAAGTGGATCTATGGGTCTATCTCACTCGCTTGAGTTGTTTCCCATTTAATTTCAATTGACATTCAACCACAATCAGTATAATTATCTGTAAGTATTTTTTTAGTACGCGATTGCAATGTGGACAATTAAGATCGATGATTTATTTTTTGAAAGTCAGGAATCGTTGACATTCAATACCCAATAGACTTGAAAAGGAATATTCTCAGATAAATTATGAACATACAAAAATGGATATATATTTATATAAAGCGATACATTGAGAATTCGCATTCTCTATGTGATGAGAATATCTACTCTTTTTCAGTTTATTCAATAGGAAACAACTACTTTCCTGGCTATATGCCACGACGAACATTGATTTATATCTATTGAACACACACGATAAGAGTTTGAAAATAAATTAAAAGAACTTCTGAAATTGAAAATTTGCAGTCTCCTTCAGACAAAAATATGTATATGCACACATCATTCTGAATATTCAACAAAAAACAACTACTTTCCTGGCTATTTGCCACGTCGAACATTGAATTATATCTGATGAATATTCAAAAGGAGAACATGAAAAATAAAAAATAAAATCCTCCGAAATTGAGAATAGACATTCTTCTTCAAATCGGATGAATAATATGATGTATAATAAATAATAACTATCATATTATTCATCTGATTTGGAGAAGAATGTCAATTCTCAATTTCGGAGTATTTTATTTCTCATTTTTCATGTTCTCCTTTTGAATGTTCATCAGATATAATTCAATGTTCGACGTGGCAAATAGCCAGGAAAGTACTTGTTTTCTGTTGAATATTCAGAATGATGTGTGCATATACATATTTTTGTCTGAAGGAGAATGCAAATTCTCAATTTCTGAAGTTTTTATAATTTATTTTCAAACCCTTATCGTGTGTGTTCAATAGATATAATTTGATGTTCGTCGTGGCATATAGCCAGGAAAGTAGTTGTTTTCTACTGAATAAACTGAAAAAGAGTAGATATTCCCATCACATAAAGAATGCGAATTCTCAATGTATTGCTTTATATAAATATATATACATTTTTTTAAGTTCATAATTTATCTGGGAATATTCCTTCTCAACACTTTCATACCCAATCAGGGGGTTCGATCACAGTTGAGAGAATATTACATATTAATATTCTCTCAACTGTGGTTCGATCTCGAACGATGGAAACTTGTGATTTTTATAGACCTCTAATCGCAGATTCGTGATAGAGTCTCAATTCAGAATTTCTTTCCACGCCCTGTATGATGAATGTCAATTCATCATACACCCAAAAACCCAATAGACTATTGAAGTTTGATATTCTTCCTCTCCGTATCCTGAACAACGATATTAGTTTTTTCATCTAAGAACTGAATCGAAATTAGACGTTTGATCCCTTATTTGAGAAAACAAAGTTGTCAATTTACTCTCGTGGAAGATAATATGAATTGGCTTAAGTATACATCCTTTGGCGTCGCTATGCCTATAAAATCTGTGCAATCCAAACAATCAGTGTCCTCATCACTATAATTAAACAAGTAACAGTATAATATCGAGTGAAATTGCACTAGTGCTTTTCTACACGATTTTTCTTCTGTTGAACATGGAGATATTTAGGACTAACTTAATGATCTACTGGTACTGGTACTGGTGGGGGACGTTTCCACGTCAGCAACTAGTCCCCAATGGGACCTTTTTGCAAACCCCAAGTGTTTTCAATGACTGATGTGGTTCGCTCAAGAGAGCTGGCTAATATCCTTTTCAGGCACCGCCCATCAGCTCTCTTTCAGAGTTTTTCAGCTGTGTTTTGTAGGCTAGTAATGTACTCACTACCATATGCGCAGTGGCAGGCCTGCTAACTATCCTCGTTAACCCCCGAGACCGAGGTCTACTAAGCAGCTGGCCCGCTCTCACGCTCAGCTGGTAGTTTTCCACACCCACCTACATACCCCGTCCTACTTCTTCTCTGATGTTCACAACCACATCATCATATCTTTCTGCGTGTTCTGTGTAGGCTTTGTTACTAACTCCATGCGCCACTTTAGGAGCAGCACTGTTAATTGGAACGCAACAGCGAATCGTGAAGGACTATCCCCAGCCGATGCTCCGAAACTTTACAATATTTAATTCGTAAATAAAATATTGAAAAAAAGTTCCTTGCCCGTGCTGGGAATCGAACCTTCGACCTTGCGGTCGCCAATCCCGGCTAACTTAATGATCTATATAACTATTCTGTCTTATGTGTCAGTTTGTAGCATTTTTATAAGATCTTGATTATCGAAAACCTTTTTTATCATAAATAATATGGACAAAAATACTCGTTTATTGACAAAACATTGTTCCGTACTCTTGCGGAAAATTACTTCTCCACCCTTGACGGCTTGCCCAAACCCATCTCCGCGTCGTTCGTGCAACTGCCCTAGCGCGCGAAAAAGTACCACTTTCCGCACCCGATAGGTAGGTAACTATTCTTTACCATCCGATCATTATTTACCAAAATGGTCGAATCTTATTTGATGTTCAAGAGGGAGCAACTATATCTTCGTTATGTTAACTATCAACTGACGATATAATATGAAAGATTATACACTCCCGGGAATTATATGTATATCATATTTTATTTAAGTATGTAAAAATATAAGTAAAAGTAATTAAAACTCAATGAAGATGAACAAATTCAATATGGAATGAATAGGTAAAGCTGCCCCGTCCTCATATGGTAGATATCTTATATGCCGTCTTGTACCTCTCAATCGCAGGGACACGGCTCTGAGTATGAACATTTGCCTTCGTATGCGAATCCACCCTATTGTTTGAGGAAACTGCTTCCTCCATTTTCGTGATAATGTTTCTGATAAACGTTTCTGGAAAACGGCATATTCCTGGTGTAATACACCTTCAGCAGAACAAATCAATGGAGTGAAGCTCTCTGATCTCTTCTGCTGCACTGTCATATTTTCTATGCTTTCGCTTTGCATGATTATGGGCGATGGTATGCCAGCTTTGGAAAGTATAAGAGGGTGCGTCGGAATAATTAATGCGGTTATCGAAAAACGCAACTCTTTCAGCTTCCCAGACACCATTTATTTTTATGTCAGCATTTAATATTAAACAACAATAATCGTTCCTGGATTATGATGTGTGTCGTTCCTGAGCATTCCATCCATTCACGGGGGTGAGTGGAACCTCGTAGCTAACAACCCTGGTGTTCGAAGGAAGAATAAATCTCAACATCATCTCCACGACATTTAATAGGTGAACAATGTCATGTTGCCGAAGGGGACATGTTTCGGGTTTATAATAAGCCCATCATCAGCCAAGATCTATAACGTCCTAGAAAAGTCTAAACTTGTAACAGGAATATGGTAATAGATAAATTATACTAACTTAATACTTCTCAACCAGCATCACTCACGCTCCCCAAACTGATTTCCTGTAAGTGCAAGAAAGGCTGCATGGGTGAGTGCACTTGCAGGAAAGCAGGTCTCGTGTGCTCAGGACTGTGTTCAACTTGTGTTGAATACCTAATCTGATTATATTATGAATCACTATGTATTATGTTATATTTGTTATCATAGTTGTGGTATGTCAATGATTTTATTTAATAATAAAATTATTCAACTGTTAGTGTCAATCAATTTTAGATCTTTGAATAAGAATATAACTTGAAAACTCCAAAAGGTTCTGGGCACAGAACGTTTCTAGTGGCTATAAAGTTACATTGCTGTTAGTTCAACTATAGTTTTCCATAAGTTGGAGGAAAAATTTGCTATTCAAGTTTTGCTACTCAATATGGCTTCATCACATGGATCTCTTTTGCCAATTGAGAAACTTGAAGGTATGGCAAACTACAACAACTGGAAATTTGCGATGCAAATGTATCTTATTCATGAAGATCTGTGGGAATATGTGTCAACGGAAGTACAAGGTCCTGATCCAAAGAAGGATGATAGGGCAAAAGCCAAAATGTGTCTTATGGTACAGCCGTCAGGTTATTCGTATGTAAGAAATGCCTCGTCAGCCAAAGTAGCATGGGATAACTTGGCTAAAGCTTTTGAAGATAAAGGACTATCAAGAAGGTTGAGTTTACTCAGGAACCTGTTCTCAATAACACTTTCCAATTTTTCAAATATGGAAGAGAACGTTTCTGAGGTCATGTCTTTAACTCAAAAACTGAATGACATAAATGCATCTCTAGAAGATGAATTTGTTGGTGTTATCCTCCTAAATGGATTACCTGCAGAATATAACCCTATGGTCATGGCGCTTGAAAATTCCAATCAGAAAATATCAAGTGAATTAGTGAAAACCAATTTTAGATCTTCGAATAAGAATATAACTTGAAATCTCCAAAAACTTGCCGAGGCAAATCATGCCAGAACAAACCGGCCATCGAACTGGAGGATTCCAACGATGAGGCCGATATCGTTGACCCGGCTCCCATCGATTGCCCCTCCTCGATCAAGCAGTGAAGAACCTGGTCCCTCCAAAAAAAGACATTAATCCTGCCCCCCTTTCCAGCGAACTTTCACATGACTCGAATGTATTAATTATCACTAAACAATATATTGGGTATCGATGTACATTGGTTGATTTTTTCCGCTTCTTTAAAATATGCTGGTACAACAAATTTAATCGTCAAGCTCTATTTCTAAAAAAATCAAATTTTCAACTGTAGTGTTTCTTGAGGATAACAATATTACTATTGGACCTACATGCTTGTTCATGGGTTCAAATTGAAGCCAAATAAATACACTACAACTTGATTTCTTATAACTTTCCTCGTAGGATGAGTATTAGAGCCGATATTTTGCTCAGAAGAAGGCCAAAACTACAATTTTAAAATTTGTGAAAATAAAGCCAATATTTGAGGTCCTGTATCTCAGGATGTATCAGACCTCGAGAAATGAAATCAAACCCAAAATTCAGCGCATTAATCTAGACATCTTATAAGATTTTTGCGCTAAAAACCGAAGTTAGTCGAATAATTCCGGGGTTTTTCGAGCACCACACTTATTCTAGCGCAAGTCTTTCGGAACTGCAATCTTGGTTTCAAACTATTGGGAAATAGCCTAACATCATGCAAAAAAAAAATCAATGAGCGAATTTATGTGAACTATGGTGTCTAAAATCAGCGGCCTATTAAATGTCGTGGAGATGATTTTGAGATTCATTCTTTCTTCAAACACTACTACTTCAATTTGGGCAATATGGACTTCTTCACACGTTTCACCTTGATGTTTCTTCCAGGTGTATTGGAGCGAGCAGTTCGTGTTCAACGTCCACGCTCGCAGCATCTTCCCCTGCGACGTCCACAACGGCGGCGTGGCCGTCCTGTTCCAATACCCCTCCTGCATCCTGGCCACCGGGGACCGAGTGCGCCTGTTCGGCAGGCTGCGCTGGAACGTGGCCAGCCTGGCCCCTCCCACCTCCCTGGAGTACGTGGCGGAGCAGCGCGTCGTCAGGGGGCAGCACAGCATGCACTTCGACTGTGATCTGTTCACCGAGAAGTACGTGGAGTACTGCTTCGTGTACGTCAGCCAGGCCATCAGCGGGGCAGTGGCTGATGTCCGGATGGACTGCGTACCGACGTTACCCGCCACAGGTAGGATAAGAGCTGGAGTCTAGCATGCTAGTAGCAGAATTCACCTAGTAGTAGTAGTAGGAGAAGGAGGGCCGAGAGGCAGCTACCCAGCGAGTTGGTCCTTTCTGCTTACTCCTGCTGCACACATCTCTATACTTCCTTCTCCTTATTCTCCCTTTCGATCTGCCGTGACCAGCGGTGCTGTGGCTGATGTTCGGATGGACTGCGTACTGACATTACCCGTCACTGGTTTATTTAGAGCTAGAGTCTGGCATGCTAGTATCAGAAGTCACCCTGTGGTAGTAGCAGTAGTAGTAGGAGGAGGATAGGCAGCTGCCCAGGAAGAAGGCCCCCATGAGCCCTTTTTTCTTACCCTTGCTGCACACATGTCTTCTCTTTCTTCTCCTAGTTCTCATTCTTGATCTTCCGTGTCCTTTTGATGAAGGTCAGTATGTCAGTTTATCTTAATTTGATTGGAAAGTCCTGTTAACGCTTATTAGCCCCAGCTATTTTGAATCTTAGCCTTCCATACGCCTCACACTGGCCCAGGTAGTGGTATAAAGCCACCTAACTCAAACGGCAAGATACAATTCCAGTACCCAGGAAGGTAAGAGCATATGTAGGGGTGAAACATACTTATCGCCTCAGATTAGAACCCTAGTAACGTGAATCCACGAGGTTCAACGCCAATTTCTGGCTAACCAAGACTTAGTATGGATATTTTGGTGAGCAAGTAGGTCCCCATGTGCCCCATTTGCTGACCCCTGCTGCACAAATATCCCATCTTCCTTTTTCTAACAATTCCCCTTCTCAAACTTTCGTGACCTTCTGATGAAGGTCAGTATGTGCGTTCACCTTGGATTGATTGGATTTTCCTGGTAGAGCTTATTCGCACCAGAGATTCAGAATATTATAGCCGAAAACTTGGAGAAGGCATTCAGTGCGAGGTTGATGCAACGGGCTAAATAATCTCCACGTTAAATGTCCCTAGAATGGACATAATTATCTGACATATCAATCACTTTTCAATTTTCAAGGAAATCAGCAAGTATCCAATATTGAAAATTCAATTTGGGATATCAGAATAAGGATTTGCTATGAATATTTTGACTAATGAATAGTAATTTGTTTTACTAGGGAGAAAAATCCAAGATTTGTTCTCCAAATTCTTTTCAATTTCATGCAAAGTCCAAATAATCCATCATTTCTTGTTCACCCGAAGTCGTTGTCAATTTTGATTACCAATTTGATTCAAATTACTCGGAACGTTGCATAGCGACAAACTTTTTCGGCCTAGGCAGTAAAAGTACACTTTTTTTGCCTGTTAAGTGTCATCAAAAATCCACTTTCATTGCGTCATTTGGAGAAAAAAATGAATCAATCTGTAATGAGTGTCATGCATTCTATACTATTTTTAGATGAGGATACCCTTGGATAATCTTGTGGTTAGTGATTGAGATTCAAGATTCAAAATAATCAATTCATGTGTATTTTGATATGTTCGGACTTTTGCTGTTGTTTATAATTTCAACATAATTTTTTAATATGTCTTCAAGTATACAGTGTCATAAATGAAGTCGGCATTATATGGGAAAAAAGTGTTGAGTTTTTTTTTATGAGAAATATGAACAATGAGCTATTTGGTCGGGGTCACGTACGTGACTTATGTTAAATGTCAGAAGGTCAATTTTTCAATTTAATCGCTGTAAATAGACTTATTCTTCGTTTGAGATTTAGAAGAATTAAGAATTCGATATTTTTTTCGATTTCTAGGAAATGTCTGTAATATTAAGGTAATATTAAAAATATAACATCGGCAAAACTATTTCATTTCAGTTGCCTTATCTCATGCTACTATCTTTCAATAACTGATTATCGACAGAAATACGATTTTCTCAGCATTTTTGAAATTCGAATAAATAGGGCAATTTTCAGCGATCAATTTGAAAAAATTTAGTATCACATACGCGAACCCTGTCATTTTTTGACGTTTGTAGAAAGAATCAATTATTATTTAAAGGGTTGCCCATATGATGACTTTTTGAAATGACACTGTATATGTATCACTTGTATTTTATGACTTGTCTCATGACCTAAAGAGATCAATAAACTATCTATTTATTTTCATTGGAAGTGATGCTTCAGTAACCAGAATAAGCATGAATGATTCAGAAAAATTGCAGTTTGAAATCTTTGAGGCAGTTTTTATTCCGCAACAATAATATAAAAAATCAAGAGAAAAGCGGGGAGTTGAGTTGAGGGAGTTTTTATTCTGCAACAATAATATAAAAAATCAAGAGAAAAGCGGATTTTTATTCTCATGTCTCCATAATCTGAAAACTCGCAGCAGGGTCATTTCTAAGAAGAACATAAGAACAAATAATCGATTACCAGAAATCCAATGGAACGATAAAAACCTTCAAAGCCAGTCGCCTGCTGTTCTTATCATAGACTTGCAGGCAGGAACACTATTTCGTGTGGCTTGGCACGTTTGAACAGATGCTCGTCAAAGAGTCATTTGGCCGTGAACAGCGGGGAAAATCTGAAAGGGCAGCACTGCTCCGATTGTTCCAGTCGAGCTGCACAGAATGGGGTGGTTATGAATAATAATCGCCATATGCAAAATCTGCACTTCGGTATTTACAAGAGCTGATGACCAATAATTGGATTCGATTGTGTTCGGTGGCAGGTCGTTTCACATTTTCTGAAATTGAAGTTACTGAGAGATGTAAGATGGATTGAGTTTATATACAGGGTGTTCCACAGGTAAAGGGAAATATCTCAATGGTACATAGGGGTCACCAAGGTGGTTCTGAAAATACGATATTTGATAGGTCTTAAAATCTTCATAACGGAGATAGAGGTCGATTTATCGATTTCGAATGATTATTCATTCGTTTATAAGTATCGAATTACCCAGTATATTTTCCTCCAATTTGGTATAGAGCTTATACTTGGGACGTTGAATTTATTCACCTATCGGGCGGATTGAAAGTCCAGGTTCGGCTTCAGGAAAAATTTACATTTATTCGAATCATTAAAATACCACACTGTATGTAATGATTAACAGAATTCATGAAAGGAATCGTGAAGAGGAGGAAAAACTGAATTGGATTTGATGCTTTTCAGTTTCCCGCCACCAATTCTCATCGTAACAATCATAAACAGAAAGTTGAAAGTATGTCAATTTGAAGAGTATTAAAATTATAAAACCAGTTTTAATTATAATTATTCGATATATTTTAGTTGAATGCATGATCGCTCGAAATAACTTACTACTGAGTATCACAGTCTTTATAACCGAGATACAGGGTGAATTATCAGTTTCGAATAATTATTCACACGTCCATAAGTATTGAACTATACCCAGTAATATTTTCTCAAAATTTGGTATGGACCTTACTTGGAAGTTGGATTCATTGACTTATCAGGCGGAATGGAAATACAGGTTCAGCTTCAGGAAAAGTCCCACAATATTGATAACGGAGATACAGGGTGAATTATCGAATTATAATTATTTGATATCTTTTAGTTGAATAATTGCTAGAAGTATCAAATCCAATTCAGTTTTTCCTGTCCACGATTATTCTTATGATGAACTTTGTTAGTTATCAAATACAGTGTGTTTCTTTATATTTCGAATGAATGTAAATTTTTCCTGAAGCCTAACCTGTATTTCCATTCCGCCCGATAGGTCAATGAATCCAGCGTCCCAAGTAAGCTCCCTACCAAATTTGAAAAAATATTACTGCGTAGTTCAATACTTATGGACGAGTAAATAATTATTCGAAACCGATAATTCACCCTGTAACTCTGTTACAGAGACTGTGAGAATTTTTCTGAAGCTGAACCTGTATTTCCATTCCGCCTGATGAGTCAATGAATCTAACGTCCAAAGTAAGCTCCATACCAAATTTGAGAAAGTATTACTGGGGTAGTTCAATACTTATGGACGAGTAAATAATTATTCGAAACCGTTAATTCACCCTGTATCCCTGTTATAGAGACAGTGAGACTTGTAAGTTCTTCCGAACGATCATTTGACTAAAATATATCAAATAATCATAATTAAAACTGATTTTATAATTTTAATACTCTTCAAATTGACATACTTTCAACTTTCTGTTTATGATTGTTATGATGCGAATTGGTGGCGGGAAAACGAAAAGCATCAAATCCAATTCAGTTTTTCCTCCTCTTCACGAATCCTTCGATGTACATACAGTGTGTTATTTTAATATTTCGAATAAATGTAAATTTTTCCTGAAGCCGAACCTGGATTTTCGCTCCGCCCGATAGGTGAATGAATTCAACGTCCCAAGTTTAAGCTCCATACCAAACTTGAGGAATATATACCGGGTAGTTCAATACTTATAGACGAATGAATAATTATTCGAAATCGATAAATCGCCCTGTATCTCCGTTATGAAGACTCTAAGACCTATCAAATACGGTATTTTCATAATCACCTTGGTGACCCCTATGTACCACTGAAATATTTCCCTTTACCTGTGGAACACCCTGTATACAAAATATGAAACAGAGCATACCAGATGGATAACTGGAATTATGGTGAGGAAGAATAGCAAAATATTGGAATAATTATTTTCTCGATAATTTTCTTCGTATGATCAGAACGTTCAAATGAATTGAGTTACCTTGTATCATTTCGAATATACGTGGATATACATAGAGTAGCTCCACTTATCAGATAAGACATACAAACAAAGCGCATCGTCAGATTTTGACGTTCTTTCAGACTAAGTACTCAAAAAATAATCGCATCGAATATAATTCGAACATTAAAATCTTCAGGGTGTGATTCTGAAATATGGTTTACGAGAGGTAATATTCAAATAGGCAATAATAGTTCGGGGGTAGCTGAAAGTACAAAATTATATTCGATTCAAGGTATTCGAATATGATATTTATTATAGCATGAGATATTATGGGTAGTGATGAAATGATATAAATAGACAACAATGAATATGGAGACCAGATAACAAATTACGGTGAGTTCTTGTCAAGTCAAGAGTTGCCTAAGACGGGTTTGTTTATCTGTTACCAGACTAACTTCGGAACCCTCATATCAACTATTCATTATGACTACACGTTCCTCATGAGAGTCAGTATTCATAGTTCAGTGTCAACGGATGATTTGATTAACTAAATATTAATAAAACCCTAATGAATCGAACTCCCTATAACGGTATTTATATTCGTGATTCTGGCAGTATTAAATGTATTGACCTAACGCAGATGCATCAACATGATTTTCAACCAATCAGAGGTGAGGTTCACAAATAACTGATTCATTTCTGAATCACTTATATTTGGAAGCTGGGTAGACTTCTACAATCAGATTTCATCAAAATTAAGCCATTCTAGTATTCAAACTTCCATAATGTTGTTTCTATATTGGTAGAGGTTTTTGGGTTAGCAACTTGGAGCGAAGTTTCCATTGATGTTTCCTTCAGTTTGAGCAGAATCCGGCACTGCGGGTAAAACTGAACTATTGAAGGAATACGAAGACCATGCTACATGCCTCATCAAATGATCTATTCGTTAATCCCAACACCGGTTAGGGCAAATTTATTGATATCCATCAAATTAAACCTCATTTTATTTCATTATACTCCACCATTAAAACCTCGGTCTCAGCTCTCTTCTGTGAAACGTGGATAATGAAGTTATAATATGGAGAAATCATGGCATTTCAGCAAATCGCCACTCGACGGAGGATAGGGCGAATGAAATGTATTACTCTTCACCCCATTGATAATTCCCCTTATGACAGCTCCCGGAATTAAGACAATTGGTGTTAATAAAGGGATATAATCTCATCTTATAATAGATATGTCGTATATAGTAGGAGCAGAATGATAAAAAAATTGTTTTTTCCTGATGTGCGGAAATTTGCTCTCGATTTCGCGAGATAAGAATCAGAAGTTGCTATGAAGTATTTTCAGTTTCTCTGTGTTTCTAATAAGCAAGGAGAGAAAAATAAAATAGATATCCCAAAAATCAACTTTTTTCGATGTACCTAACAAACTAATACAAATAATTTTGAACATTTTCCCATGCTGTGCAACCTTGGACAGACTGTATAATTGTCACGGGTACGAGTTCAACAATTCTCGTGTATCTTCATTGATATCGACGGTACTTCGAAACACGTTGAAGTTCAGGATGCCCTTTATTGCTCCCAGTGGCGACACTAGTATAGTTTGATTAGTGGTCATCTGATATAAACATGACATGGACTGCATAGAAATTTTATGAATAATGAGGTTTCGATATACCTGTATCATGTGCATATCCCAGATATTATAAAGGAACACAAAGGCACAACTTGAAGGTATCTTAACAATAATTATTAATTCTAGTACAAATTTCATCATACAGTGAACAAGGATTGACAGATGACTAAAATTCCAACCAACTCCAACCTCACCAGTGCCATCTGCTTCGAGCTCTCCAGATCAACTGTCATTTTCATGACGACTCAAGGGACATCACATTGATATAACTTTCTGAAATGTTTTTGTAGAATGAACTTCATTCGAGTTTGCTCTCACTCAAATTGAATATTTCGAAGTTAGAAATGTATTGTAGCATTTTTGACGATATTCAGTACCTATTCTCCTCACAAAGTCAACAAATCTGAAAATTTTGTGTTCCTCACGAAATCAGACAGGCTGACTCTCTGATATACTTTGTATAGAGAAATTTGAGAAAACAATCGTTTGAGTCCCCTTCCATATTTTCAAAGGCACAACTTAGAGGTATCTGAACAATATTTAATGAGGTTTCGAGAACAGATCTCATCACATAAGTAAACAAAGATTGACAGATGACTCGAATCCCAACCAACTCCAACCTCACCAGTGCCATCTGCTTCGAGCTTTCCAGATCAACTGTCATTTTCATGACGACTTAAGGGACATCATTTTGATATGAGTTACTGAAATGTTTCTGTAGAATGAACTCCATTCAAGTTTGTTCCCACTCAAATTGAATATTCCGAAGTTAGAAATACAGTGTGTCCCAAATTCGATCCTCACCATTGGGATCTCAGTAACTATGAGAGATAGAGAAACGGTTAAATTAGCAAAGTTGTAGCAAATTTAATGTTGAATCATAATCTATCGAGAAATCCGGGCTAGCTTCAGTCATTCTTGAGTTATTTGAGAAAAACTGAAATCTTGTATTTTTGTTTTTCTCGAATATCTCGGAACCTATTGATTTTATGAAAAAATGACTTCAACATTCTCATAGCACTTTTTAGTGCTCTTTTTAATGGTTTTGTCAGTTTTCCATCAAAATGTCAAATTTCTGAGATATCACCTACAACTTCAATTTTTCTTATGGACGCCATATTGGATTTTGACAGATTTGAAATCAGCATCAAATTTCCTTTTTAGTGATGTATCACACTCACAGTTTTGTTCTATTTGGGGTACTGATTTCCAATTTTTGTTTTTATGTCAAGTAGGCTATGAATTCTGTGTTCTATGTTCTTGCATAACTTATCGCATGGAATTGGATGTGTACTATTATAGCAGAAAAAAATTTAATAACAGTTGAATAATACAAATACTGAAAAAAAATCAATTGAACTGCTCGAAATGGCCCCCATTGTTCTCAATACATTTTAATATTCGCGAGCGAACATGATTCGCTGCTTTTCTCAGATGAACTCTGTTGATGTTCTGGAATGTTTCCATCACCCTATCTCGTAGATCATCAATATCTTCAGGCGACCTTGGAGGCCATCTCACAGGTCCATGGGTAGTAATTAATTTAGCACCAAATTGATTCTCGAGATATTCCCTAACCAATCGCGTATTGTGCGGTGGGGCACCATCTTGCTGAAACCACATTAACTCATATTCAGCAAGTGGTATCTCGTCTATAAAATTCGAAATTTCATTTCTCAATAGCTCTAAATAACGTGGACCATTCAAGTTATAATCGTAGATTATTGGACCTAGTAGTCTACTGCCTGAAAAAAATACACAATGAGAAACAGTTATTCATGGACCAAAATTCTAGTAAGGTACCAAATATCCCACATCAAACATTGAAACCAAATTTGTTCTGCCACTTTGATTCTCTGATGACATGCGGATTATTTTGTGCCCAGTAATGATGATTATGTTTATTGTAAATTCCATTATTATGAAATCTCGTTTCATCGGTCCAGCAGATATTCAATGGAAAGTTCTCGATTCTTTCACACTGGTTATGGAACCAGTGACAAAACTCGAGACGACGTTCATTATCACCAGGTCTTAACCCTTGTACTATCACTGGTTTGAAAGGGTGGTACTTATCATTCACTAAATGTCTGTGGATTGTTGTTTTCGGCACGAGAGTTCTCCGACTAAGCTCTCGAATTGAAATGGTAGGAGTTTGATTGATGATTCCTTCGATATTTGCAATATCTTGTTCATCCAAGCGCAAACCATACCTTGGCCTAGGTGCAATGAAACTTCCATGCTCTTGCAAATTTCTTTGTAATGTTAGAAAAATAGAAGGATGCGGTTGTTGTCTTTCTGGATATAAATGGAAGTATTGTCTAGCTGTTTCTCTGTTATTTCGATTATTTCTGATATAACAATTGTACATATCAAATTTTTCGAGATTTGTGAACGGCATTGTTTGCCCCGAAATAATTGACTTGTATTTTTTCTTGACGTTTACAGAAATGTCACTTGGCTCACCTTTGCTCCAAGCCTACTCTATGAAAGTTGTGCCAGAACACATTATCGTTAATGTTTATAGAGAGCTTAGCGCATAGCCTACTGGACATAAAAACAAACATTGGAAATCAGTACCCCAAATAGAATAAAACTGTAAGTGTGATACATCACTAGAAAGGAAATTTGATGCTGATTTCAAATCTGTAAAAATCCAATATGGCGTCCATAAGAAAAATTGAAGTTGTAGGTGATATCTCAGAAATTTGACATTTTGACCGAAAACTGACAAGACCATTGAAAAGAGCACTAAAAAGTGCTATGAGAATGTTGAAGTCATTTTTTCATAAAATCAATAGGTTCCGAGATATTCGAGAAGAACAAAAATACAAGATTTCAGTTTTTCTCAAATAACTCAAGAATGACTGAAGCTAGCCCGGATTTCTCGATAGATTATGATTCAACGTTAAATTTGCTACAACTTTGCTAATTTAACCGTTTCTCTATCTCTCATAGTTACTGAGATCCCAATGGTGAGGATCGAATTTGGGACACACTGTATATTGTAGCATTTTTGACGATATTCAGTTCCTATTCTCCTCACAAAGTCAACAAACCTAAAAATTGTGTGTTCCTCACGAAATCAGTTAGGCTGACTCTCTAATATACTTTGTATAGAGCAATTCGAGAAAACAATCGTTTGACTCCCCTTTCATATTTTCAGAACAAGAAAGCGGTGGGTGGGGTCCCTGGAGCGATTGGACGCCTTGCTCAACCACCTGCATCGGGGGAACGAGAAGTCGTTACCGCTTCTGCGATTCGCCACCCCCTAGATATGGCGCCAAGTTTTGCGAGGTGAGTATTTCTGGTATTTCGTTCGATGAAATAGAATCATGGGCGATAGTAACGAACAGGATAGGATGGGATCACTGAGCAGGATAATCTTGGGGCACACCCTTCTGCTGAAAGAAAAGTGGTAATCGAAATAGACTCAATCATTATTATTATAATTTCTAATAGCCTCATCATTTGGTTTGAACACATACTTTTTAACGGCTATAGTGATATAACAGTGAACTGTGATTATTGTGCCATCAAGGTTCCAATCTTCGATATAATACTTACCACTTTGAAAAGTTCAGATATAAACACGTGCTGGCTGTTTGCCCCATCAATTTTATTAATATATTTTTTCTGCAACCGACACAAAAGTCGTCCATTTTGATACCAGAATTAGCTTTTGACCTGACGTTTCTAGTACTGACACAAAAATAGGTATGTTGCAAGGCAACATATTTAGTTCCTAGGAGCTAAAGTTGAATTTTAGTTCCTAGGAGCTGAAGTTGAACTTGAGCTCCTAGGAACTAAAAAGGATGTTCTGGACGTCATGAAGAATAAACAACATTGTGACGGTTGGTTATTTGGGTTGAGACGCATACCTGATTCGTTTCCGATTTCAGCAGATTTGGAATTTCATATCCATGCTGGAGATACAAATACACCTTATTATAGTTTAGTATTGGAATTATTAACATCTCAGCTAAGTATTTTTGTTTGATCAGGAAAGCCTTCAAGATTCAAATACTTGCTTGATCTGTATTTCATTGTTATTCTCGGGATGGATAACTTGTTCTTGAATAATCACGGCCAGCAATAGTTTTTTGTCTTAAACAACGATATTGTTTAGCTTCATTTGATTATCAAGTCAAACACAGTGTAGTATGGAGAGGAATAAATAATCACTATTATCATTGTTGATATGCTCACTAACCTAACATTTTCCACGTCTTGTTCCTATAGCTGGCACTGGCGCGGTATTTGCCATTAGAGCACCTGGTCCATACACAAATATGTCACTCTGTGGTTGAATTTATATTATTTAAATTACAATTCGAACTTCTTTGAAAACCTAACCTGCTGCAGGTAGAATATTCTTACCACATGGATTATTTGTCAATATTCGTTGCATTGCATACATATGGCACGGCATTGGTTGTTACTTCACTTGTTTATTTGAGTTAATTGTTTCGGTTGCAGAAAAAATAGCATGTTTCATTCGGATCAAAAGTGACTTTGGTCGACTCGCTCGGCTTCGCTAAACGCTCCGCCTCGCAAATGCAAAATTCGGTTGTCAAACAAAGTGTCACTTTTGATCCTAATAAAACAATCTACTATTTTTTGAAGCGCTTAGGGCACGGGCAACCTCATTTTGTAAAACCTGTTAATATGAACTGCATGCCCTCTCAGTGCACGGGACCCTTTATTTATTGAGAACCCGTTTAATGACTTAATTCCGACTATCGGCAGTAACAACAATTATACAGCTAGTAGCATCACACTTCTTCAACTCCAAAACGTTTGATTAGGCTGAAGATGGTCCTTTATAAGACTGAATGACTTCGAGCATTCCTTTTTCCCTTTGAAACATTCAACTTTCAGCAATATGGACTTTTACCAAAGACCTACCACTAGAATGTTCGAAAACAGAAAGTACAGTTTTTCCCTGATAGAACTCACCATGTTTGAGAGGACTAGTGAAAGAGAGGATACATCAAGTTTATTCAAACTTCCACTCTTTTTTCATTATATCAAGACTCCTTCATCCATAGAACGGCTAGCCTCTGGAATTCATTGCCTGTGGAAGTATTCCCAAAATCTCTAAAAGTTCAAAAAAAATTCCAATACCTACCTCCTGTCCCTATCCTCCCTAGGAACGCACGATGTTCTTTGAACATTATAGGGATTCCCTTTCGTGCGCTCCAGATAAAAAAAAACATCGAATGGAATATAGTTATTTATTATACAATGGAAAAAAGGAGTAGGTTTTAGCTACCGACGCGTAGCGGAGGGAGACAAAAATCCGTGAGATAAAATATAATTTTTTTCCGTTTATAATACACTCAGAGATTCACGGCTTGACTTGATATTCATGCTACTTGACTTGACTTGACTTGAAATCAAGTCAAGTTCAAGTCAAGCGAAAGTTTTTTAATGTCAAGTCAAGTCAAGTAATTATTTATCAAGTACTTGAAAAATCAAGTAGTTCTATCAAGCTACTTGATTTTCAGCAGTTTCATTGTGTATCTATACAGCGTGACTCACGGTCGATGTTATAGGTTAGACGTTTGTGGAGAACGCAACGCGGGATTTTTCTGAAAATACACAAAAAATTCCTGAAGTTGAAAAATCTCGATTTTTCGCACTCTATATCTCCATAATCTTTTCCGCTATACCCCGAGTGTGATGTATCGATGAAATCAACTCTTCAAGGAGAATCTGAAAATGCAACAAAATACAGGGTGTTCAATTCGAAATAACAAAAGTGGTTCCTACTTTTCTATAGAAGCGTCAACGTCGTGATTTTGAAAATATATTAGATCGATAGTACCGGTGATGAAATGTGAGATGCGAAATTTTCAGAAAAATCCTGCGTTGCGTTCCTATCATAAACGTGAACGTCTAACCTACCATCGACCGTGAGTCACCCTGTATATAACTGATGAAATGAAAATGGCTGCGCGATCGATTCAGTCAGCTCGGATCTCGGGGAACCCCCGTATTTTGTCTAAGCGTGAGCGAGCTTGCAGAAATATACGCCGTGCGACTCGTGCGTATCAAGATCAAGTATTATCAAGTAGCTTGATTTCAAGTCAAGTAATAAATATCTCAAATTCAAGTCAAGTCAAGTACGTAATTTGCCACGAGCTTGATTTTCAAGTCAAGTCAAGTAGTTTGTTGAAATATCAAGCTACTTGACTTGATGAATCTCTGAATACACTATTCTTTCTGTGACAGGAAGAAGGACGAATCAATATTGAGAATATCATATTATATTTAGATCAGAAAATTATCGACGTGAAATTTGAAGTAATCAACAGTAATGACACCTACATCTTTTAGCAGGCATCTTGATCATTCTTTTGAAGTAATCAAATATCTGTCAGTCTAATTCTGCGATTTGATTTCGAGAAATTGCGAATATAGTGCTCGTTCATTAATTCACGTAACCAGGAAGTTGAATGGAATGAGATAATAGGAATTGGAGTTCTTTCTCGGAGACGTTATTGGCTTATTTTTAACGGAACTATAGCACAACGACAGCCATCAACAGTATATGGTATATATCCAGGAAAAAAAGTACTCACTCTTTTTTCGTGTGAAAAAGATTATGAAAAGTGACATTGTATAACAAGTGAACAGAGATAAAATTTCAAATATTTTCCCATCACAAAAAAAACTCTCAGAATGTTCTTCTTCCTCGACTTGTGTAAAGTGTCCCAGTCACATGAGCACCTCTAGTATATCGTTTCATTGAAATTATGAATGCTGTTTCCGGAATTGATTGCTGTCATATAAAGTATAAGTAAACATTCATAATAATATTTTTCATTCACACGGTATAGAAAGTGGCTTCTCAATGACACGTAACAAGCATCAGAGGTGTACTTTCCCTGCCTAGGCAGAAAAAGTTTGTCGCTATGCAACGTTCCAAAAAATATGAATAACATAATACACATAATCACAATTGAGTTATCGATAGAAAAATTACAGAAAACTGGTTTTATAATATTCGAAGAACTAATTATATGTTTCACACAGCAGCAAAGTAGTTTGACTACCTTAGCTGAATTCCTAGCTTCACTACGCTCGGTCATGAGCTATCAGTCGCGGCAGTAAATCCACTACTTTGCTGCCTAGTAGAAGAAATAACTATTCTGTGACGAGAAAAAAGTTCAACATCTTATCTCTGTTGACAGGACTTTGTGATAAAATGTGTTACTTATTCAACATTCGTCACTTTAGAAACTATAAAGTCAACGTTATCAGAATTTTTCTCACTTTAAACGAAAACCATGTTCTCAAAAGAGGTATTTTATCACAAAACGACGTATTTTTGTGGAGGGTTGTAGAAATAGTATATTACACACCGAGAAGGGAAGTGATTCATTCCTGTCGTGAGATTAGTTAGTTAGCTATAATCTCGAGACAGGAATGAAACTCCCTACCGAGGTTTGTATACTATTTTATTTACAACCATCATATTTCGATCAAAATCAATAAATCTATGTTTCGTTCTGAACATACCTGAATTATTACATGAGTGAGGGCGGGAAGTAGTGAGGGGCGGGAAGTGAGGGCGGGAAGTAGAGGTGTGTAATGTGACACTTCCCAACCTTCAATGACGTCAGTAATGACAACATTACGTATATGGTTGTAAATAGAAGAACCTTTCACCCCAAAATGAGGTAAGCAATCCGTAAACTTGTCGGTCTCATTCTGATTTACCCTGTATGTAGTCATTCACTCAGATCAATATTCCGTAGCCACGGCGACCTAACAAAGTCATTATTTGAAGTATTTCTACATTTACCAGTATTTTGTGTGACCAGCGAATAGCGAGCGAACGAAATTATGGCCAAGGGCAAAGCAAAGAAAGGCAAGAAAAAGAAAACAGTGGAAGTCGATCCCAATGCTCTCACTGAAGTGGACAAAACTTTCTACGAACTGACCATTACCGATCTGAATAGAAAACTGGCCAGACTTAGATCGTTAACACAGGAATTAGAAGTGAAGAATGAGGAACTCGAACAACAGAAGGGGCAACTGGACGAAGACCGTTCCGACGTAATCGTATACCTCAAGAGAATTTTGCAAGAAAAAACGGACGAGATATCCGAGTTGGAGGAAAGGATAGTGGCCCTGCAAGAAACGAAGCAGACCGAGAAGGAGAATTTCGAGCAAGAAATTAGCGAAATGAAGGTGGAATACACGCAAATGCATGAACAGCTGACTTCTGAAAATAAATTATTAGACGGTGAGAAATTTAGTACGGTAAAATATTGTAATTAGGTACC